TAAATAAGTTTCATGTGAGCCAAAATCTTTCTACCAAATTTTTTGAGGATCGGTCCATAATTGACCCTACCCCCCATATAAGGTCCCCTTTAGAAAATTACTTTAACACTCATTACTGGTCCAAAAACGCGAGTATAGCGATGAAATGCTACATACGTAAGTTTCTTGCGAACCAAAATCGCTCTACGAATTTTTTTTAAGATCGGCCCATAAATGACCCTATCTCCCATATAAGGTCCCCTTCTGAAAATGACTTTAATGCTCATTACTGGCTAAAAAATACGAATATAGCAATAAAATTTTACACAATAAAGTTCCTCGCGAGCCAAAATCTTTTTAATAACTTTTATGTGGATAGGTCCATAATTGGCCCTACTCCCCCTATTGGGTCCACTTCAGGAAATATCTTAAACGCTTACTAGTGTCTTAAAAATACGAGTAAAACGATGAAATGCTACACACGTAAGTTTCTTACGAGCCAAAACCTCTGTACCAATTTTTTTGGATCGGCTCATAAATGACCCTTCCCCCATATAAGGTCCCCCTCTGCAAATAACTACAATGCTCATTACTGGCTTAAAAATATGAATGTGACGAAAATTGACGCACATAAGTTTAATCTCTCCACCAAATTTAGGGAGGATCGGTATATAATTTACCCTACCGCCCATATAAGGTCCCCTTCAAAAAATTACTTAAACGATAATTACTGGCTTAAAAATATGAGTTATGAAATACGGTTATGAAATTCGCTCCGAATTTCATGCGGAATGTGTCGGTAATAAACAAAAGGTTCCCTTTAGGAAAGAGTTTTGGCTAATAAACTACGAGTGTTCCTTATTTAAAATACGAGTATAGCCCTGAATGTACAAAATTTTATGAGTATCGGTTCATAATTGACGCTCACGGTTTAAGAATTGAAATAAAATATATATTTTTTTTAATTAATATTTTGTTAGTTCAAAAGAGCTCGGGCCATAATTGACTATAGGGGAGCATTCCTTTTACGGCATACGGTTTGATGGTGGGTATATGAGATTCGGCACAGCCGAATATAACACTCTTACTTGTTATAAATATAAAACACCCATTAGCAATTAGGATTAACTCTCTTAATCCAAACTACATTAGTAACTTTAACATCAGGTCTTATAACTAAAAGATTTTGATTTTCATATATTTTATTTTTGGTATTCCTAGGAGGTATATTAGTTTTATTTATTTATGTAACTTCTTTAGCATCAAATGAAATATTTTCATTTTCAATTAAATTATTATTTATTTCATTAAGAATATTTTCTATAATAATAATTACATTATTTTTTATAGACAAAAATATTTTACTACAATACCAAAATTTAGAAGTTAAATCTATTTATGATATAATCAATACATTATACTGCAGATATTAATTTAGCTTTTAATAGAGTTAATCATATTTGTCGAGATGTAAATTATGGATGATTACTACGAACTATACATGCTAATGGTGCATCATTTTTCTTTATTTGTATTTATTTACATGTAGGACGAGGAATTTATTACGGATCATACTTATTTACTCCAACTTGACTAGTAGGAGTAATTATCTTATTTTTGGTTATAGGAACAGCATTTATAGAGGTCAAATATCTCTTTAAGGAGCTACAGTTATTACTAATTTATTATCAGCCATTCCTTACCTAGGTATTGATTTAGTTCAATGAGTATGAGGAGGATTTGCTGCAGATAACGCTACATTAACTCGATTTTTTACATTCCATTTCATTTTACCATTCATTGTATTAGCTGCAACATTAATTCACATTTTATTTTTACATGAAACTGGATCAAATAACCCTATAGGATTAAATTCTAATATTGATATAATTCCATTCCACCCATATTTCACTTTCAAGGATATTGTAGGATTTATCGTTATAACAATAATGTTACTTCTGTATTAATTAATCCTTATCTTTTAGGAGATCCTGATAATTTTATTCCTGCTAATCCACCAGTCCATATTCAACCAGAATGATATTTTTTATTCACTTATGCTATTTTACGTTCAGTTCCTAATAAATTAGGAGGAGTAATATTAGTAACAGTACTCTTATTAACATGAATTGGAGCTCGACCAGTTGGACGACCTTATGTTTTAGTAGGACAAATTTTAACTGTAGTTTACTTTGCGTATTTCATATTTAATCCTTTAATTATTAAATGATAAGATAATTTATTAAATTAGTTAATGAGCTTGAAATAAAAAAACAAATGTTAATTTAACATAAAAAAATACATGAAAAACATCACTTCCTAAAAATTTTACACAAAATAATATTCTTATAAACAAAATACTTTCATATTCTGCTAAAAAAATTAAAGCAAACCCTCCTCTTCTATATTCTACATTAAATCCAGAAACTAATTCTGATTCTGCAAAATCAAAAGGAGTTCGATTAGTTTCAGCTAAAGAAATTCTAAATCATACTAAAGCTATAGGAAATATAATAAATAACAAGTTAGAGTGCTATATTCGGCTATGCCGAATCTTCCAGCAAGCTACTTTTTATTAAAAATCATTTAAATATCTAATTTTCAGATAACTTGGCAAAATTTTTGTTTCCGTATTGAGAGTACTAACATTAATGCATATGTCAAACTAATTTTAATAAGGTCGAGAAAAATGTATATTAATTCCGTAGAATGATTTATGTATGTATATATACAAAATACACATTTATATCGAATTTTATCCCGATAACTTTGATTGTCAATGTACATTTGAGTAATTTTCGGAAATGGTCCTTATATGGGAATTGTGACCAATTATCGACCGAAAAGGAACAAATTTAATATAATGATTTATATGCCAAAATTAATTAATTAATGAAATATGTGCGTTTAGATGATTTTCGGAAGTGCTTTATATGTATACGAGCTATGACCTTACACAAAACATATTTTTGTCGAATTTTATCAAGATAACTTTATTTGATAATGAAATATGAGCGCTTAAGTGATTTCTTTGAAGTGAACCTTATATAGCAGCTATTACCATATATGGACCAATCCGGAAAATTTTGGAAGAGTGATTCATATAAAGAAAAAACATATTTGTGCCGAATTTTATCTAGATAACTTTATTTAACAATTACATATGTGCGTTTAAGTGATTTTCCGAAGTGGGACTTATATGGGAGCTATGACCAATAATGGACCAATCCGGGAAAAAAGTGGTAGAATGATTTATATGCACACAAAATATGTTCAAGTCGAATTTTATCCTTATATTTTTAGAATTTAATGAAATATATGCGTTTAAGTGATTTTCGGAAGTGGACTTTATATGGGAGTTTTGGCCAATTATGAGCCTATCCGGAAAAAAATTCGTAGAGTGACTCATATAAAGACAAAACATATTTGTGTCGAATTTTATCAAGATAGCTTTATTTGACCATGTGCTTTTAAGTGAATTTCGGAAGTAGGCTTTATATCGGAGCTATGACCAATATTGGACCGATCCGTAAAAAATTTTGTGGAATGATTTGAATGTACACAAAACATATTTTGTCGAATTTTATCACGATAGCTTTAGTTGACAATGAAATATGTGCTTTTAAGTGATTTTCCGAAGTGGGCCTTATATGGGAGCTATGACGAATAATGGACCGATCCGTAAAAAAATTTGTAGAGTGATTTGTATGTATACAACACATACTTGTGTCGAATTGTATCCCGATAGCTTTATTATTCAATGAAATATATGCATTTAAGTGATTTTCGGAAGTGGGCCTTACATGGGAACTATGACCAATAATGGACCGATCCGTAAAAAAAAGTAGAGTGATTCATATTTAGACAAAACATATTTGTGTCGAATTTTATCCCGATAGCTTTATAATTCAATGAAATATTTTATTTTAAGTGATTTTCGGAAGTGGACTTTATATGGGAGCTATGACCAATTATGGGCCTATCCGGAAAAAATTTCGTAGAGTGATTCATATTTAGACTAAACATATTTGTGTCGAATTTTTCAAGATAGCTTTATTTGACAATGAAATATGAGCTTTTGAATGATTTTCGGAAGTGGGCCTTATATGGGAGCTATGACCAATAATGGACCGATCCGTAAAAAATTTGGTAGATTGATTTAACTCGAATTTTATCACAATAGCTAGTATATTCATCAATGAAATATATACGTTTAGGTGATTTTCGGAAGTGGACCTTATATGGGAGCTATGACCAATTGTGGACCGACAGAGATCTACGTTGACTGTAAGATTTCTGTTCATATTATATTTGCATGTACAAAATTTTGTGTTGATACCGATATATTTGAGTTATTAACGATAAACTAATTTCCGGGAATATATACCTTTGTATGGGGGCTATGGGAAATATTCGATCGATTGTAAAGATCTTGAACATAATTGATCACAGGCATAAAAAATTAATGTGTGACAAAATTCATCGAAATATCTTTGGTAGTTTCTGAGAAAACTTCAAAAGAATGTTGAAAAAAACGTAATTTCTTTCGAGGTAGTCTGAAATTTTACTCATAACTTTTTACGTTGTGAACCGATTTTGCTGATTTTCAATACCAAACTGCTTAGGATAATAATAAATAATGGGTGAATTTTGTTGATTTCCTTTGCTCAGTTTTGATGTGAGCGTGTTTTATACAGACTGACTGACATAGCTAAATTGACTCAGAATTTGATAAGGACCCAGAATATATGTACTTTGTTGGGTCTTAGATGAATATTTCTTGGTGTTACACACGGAACGACATACTTATATATACCCTCTATCACCACTGATGGTGGTGGAGGGTATAAAAATCAAATAAATATCTGTACCGCAATTCTGTAATTTTTTAATTTTAACTACCGATATCGTAAAGTAACGAAAAATATCGGTTGCATTAACGAATGTTCTATTCTCTAATTTAAGTTAACGAATATTATCGTTAGAATATTTTAACGATAAATATCGGTACAAATGTGAGAATGTCAAAGTTGTATAAAAAATAAATAAAATTATCAAAAAAAAGTTTATGCATAAAAATGGAAAAAAAAGAGTAAGTATTAAATTATAAGCGAAAATTTTGTGTAATTTAATAATTTTTCCTTAGGAAGAAAACACGAGGCCCTCGAGCCACAGCAGCACAACATGCCGCACTTCTTTCTTTCCTGGAAAATGAAAAAGGTTTGGCTGAAGGCAAATTTGCTGCCTTGCATGGTAAGGAAATGGCAAGAAAGAAATGGGAAGATTTGGCCAATGAAATAAACAAAATTCCAGGTGCATTTAAAAGTGCTGACCAATGGCAAATTGTAAGTATTTTTACCATAACTTTACAAATTATTTATTTGTTATTTAAATTCTAGGTTTGGAGGGACATGAAATCAAAAGCTTCCTCAAAATTTAAAATTTTAAGAAGAGAGAGAGCAAAGACTGGAAATAAACCCCTATCAGAAGATTTCCTTTCACCCTTGGAAGAGAGAATAGTAGGGATTGTCGGTTGGGAATACATGATGGGGAATGAAAGTGTTCCAGACAGTTTTGATACCACTGTGGTAAGTTAATTATGAATACGATTTAAATTAATATACACTTATATTGCATTCTACAATATATACAACAGTTAAATGAAGAAATCACGATCACTGGACAAGAGGAAAATGTTACAGAAACAGTAGAATTTGAATGTGAAGCAAGTATTTCAGAAGTTCCCACTACATCGAACTGCGGAAACGGAAATAAAAGTGAAATACCAAAAAAGCGCCAAAAAAAGGGAGTGTTCTATTAAAGAAGAGTTTTTACAAATTGCAAAAACTCAGGCTGATGCAATGATGGTGAATGTCTACAGTGTCTGATTATATATTAGGTCTACTGAAGATGTAGGGTATATATAGTTGGACTTGACTGATTAAACTTACTTGTTAATATACATAAATAATTTATAACTTTTTTATCATTTTCAGAATTTAGCAAATGCGCAAAAAGAAACGGCAAAAGCTTTAAATAAAATATCGGATAGTTTCGTCGTTCTAAACGAGATTTTGGCCTCTTATAAGAGAATGGAAATTGTACTTTCAAATATAGAAGAAAGCGTCAAATTAAATAACTTTGTTTTTAAACCTTAATTGTATTTATTGTTTTTATTTTGCCTTTTTTTATTGTTTAAATTTAAAATAAAATCTTAATTTTTATTAAAAATGTTTATGAATTTATTTAGTATTCTATATATTAAATAATTAACTAAAGTATTGTTCAATAATTTGGTTTTGAATGCGTCTTGCTACTGAAAGTAGTGATTGGTTTTGTTCTAGGGATTCGTCTTGACTTTGAAAATGTACTTCATCATTAAACTCATTAGATGAGAAGTTGTTATTCTGACGTTTAATGTTATGCAGTACTGTACAAGCATTTACTATTTTCCCGGCAAAAGCAGGTTTGTATTGTAGAGTTCTGTGCCTTGAAAGACATCTCCATGTTGCTTTTATAACACCAAAAGCCCTTTCGATGCAGTTACGAGTTTTACAAAGCGCTTCATTATATCTAAATCTTGGTGTACCGGGAGTTTCCTCTGGCAAAGGAGTCATAAGCCAAGGCTCTAAAGGATATCCCATATCACCTGAAGTATGTAATTATAGATAGTTCCTTTATGTTTATACGTATTTGTTTATAAATATTATCATATAATTGACCTATTAAAAACGTTCTTCTCTCTCCACTATTGAATGTCCTTTCCAGTAAAGTTCGTACAGGACTTGAGCTCCATATATATGCATCATGTCTGGAGCCTGAGTACTGTGCATTCACATTTAATATTTTTAAGTATGGATCACAAATCTAAAAGTAATGTATAATTTATATTTTAAGTCTGTAAAATTCCAATTTCCATTCATATTATACCATTTGCACATTTAAAGAATGGTAACCATGGTGGTTAACGTAAGCTCCTTCGTTGTTTGGAGGAGCAAGAATAGCAACGTGAGAACAATCAATAGCACCAATACAGCCGTCAAAGGGATATGAACTGTTTCGAAATTGTTCTTTAACACTGTTCCTTTCATACGTTGTTATCGGGAACTTGACCCATTGCTTCAATAACACATCATTGATTGCATCAGTAACTCTATGTAAAGAACGACTAACTGAGGGTTGGCTTATAAAAATGCCCCACTGTTCACCCACAGGCCTTTGAAAACATCCCGTTGCATAAAAGCGAATTGCAGAAAGAATCTTAAAAAGCTGTCTTATTTACTTATTGGTAATTTTAAAGATGAATTGTCTACCTGTTTTTCCGGGGAAATTCCAGTAATCCTATTACAAGTGAATCTGTGTTGTATTGAATCAATAATGTCATGCATTTGACTTTTATCTATCCTATAGAGCAATACAAATTCGCGATCACTCAAATCAAATGGATTTTCCATATTTCGAAGTATTCTTCGTTCTTGAGTCCGAATATAATGTTGAAAATGATCTTCCAAATACATACCAATATATTCAAATGCCATTTTTGTGCAATTTTGTAATATTAAATAATTTATTTAAATTATTCTTCTTTTTGATCAATAAAACAATGTTAGCAATTGATAAAAAGTTGTATATTTTATTGAAAGTTACCTTTTTTGTTAAATTTATCTATAGAATTAACAACATTATAAATATCGTTATGTTTTAACAAGAACTATTTGTTAGTCGTTAGCTTATCGAAGGTTTTCGTTGACTACCGACAATGATTACCGATAAAAATCGAAAATATTTTGCTACAGAATAGCACTTAACTACAATTATAGTTAACTAACGAATTTTGACTATTTAACGACAAAATTTTGTCGTTAAAAAGTTACTGAATTGCGGTACTGATACTTATAAAATATTAACATATTTTAACATAAAAAATAAAACTTAATAGTACTAAAGCTAATCTAACTTCATAAGAAATAGTTTGAGCAACAGCTCGTAATCCTCCTAATAAAGCATAATTTGAATTTGAAGACCAACCTGCAAATATTACTGTATAAACACCTAAACTTGAACAACAAAGAAAAAATAGTAAACCTAAATTAAACGAAAAAAGTTTAACAAATATAGGTATACATATTCAAACCAATAAAGACAAGAATAATGAAAAAATTGGTGAAAAATAATAAGAAATATAATTAGATAATAAAGGATAAGTTTGTTCCTTAGTAAATAATTTAATTGGATCACAAAAAGGCTGAGGAATTCCTGCAATTCCAACCTTATTAGGTCCCTTACTAATTTGAATATACCTCAAAACCTTTCGTTCTAAAAGAGCTAAAAATGCTGCTCTTACTAATACAAAAATAATTAATAATAATCTTCAAATAATAAATTTTCTATAAAAAACAAGTACTTTTTGTAATAAAAATTACATAAATAAATTCTAAATTTATTGCACTAATCTGCCAATATAGTAATTATATTCAATATAAAAATAATAATTTATCAAATATTAGGTCCTTTCATACTGAAATATTTATATATAGGCTTCCTTTCACTTAAATTTTTTCGGAACGATTTTAGTAACGACATGAATATTTTGGGCAAAAAATGGATATAGATTGCGTGGTACACTTATATGGAATACATACTAAAATTCGTTTATGCGGGAAATGTTCCCATCCATGTGCACATTTGGAAGAAAATGGGCGGAAATTGAATGGAGTAAAATTGTCGAAATTGTATTGGTTGGCGCTGCGTCTCTAACATGAAGTGCATATATTGTTTTTTGGGTTGCAAGTTTACAAATATTTTTTTGCCAAAGACTGTCGCAGGTAGTCCGGAAATTATTTGAATCCTTTATATTTTTAACACACTTCTTGTATTTGTATATACAAAATTAGGTAGAAGAATTTTTACAATTCCTTTCTTGATTGTATTACAATTGTATATGCATGCAAAAAGTAGGTAAGACTATATCAAAATTATATTTATTAACATTTGGAAAATTTCCAAAATAGTTGTTTATTAATATGCATATAAAATCGCCAAAAATTTTTTTATATAAATTACACATTTCATTTTCCAAATTATCATAATTTAATCACATATAAAAATTTCTTAATGTGATTAAAAATCTATTAATCTTGTTTAATATTTATACCCTACACCACTTTAGTGGGGAGGGTATATTGGGTTTGTGCTGATGTTTGTAACTCACAATAATATTGGTTCTATACCCACCTTAAAGTATACCAATCGGCTTAGAATCATTTTCTGAGTCGATTTAGCTATGTCCGTCCGTCTGTTCGTCCGTCCGTCCATGTAAACCTTGTAATCAAACTACAGGTCGCAATTTTGAAGATAATTCAATGAAATTTGGCACATGATCTTCTATGTTATCGGAGAATGAAAATGGTTAACATCGGTCCATTATTTCACCTAGCCCCCATACAACTGAACCCCTGAATAGGGATTTTAAGTTCATAATTGTGTTTAATGTACTCCTATCTCGACAAAAAACTACAAAACCAAGTTCTATACTAGCCTTGATGACCCTCATGAATTTCTTAATTATAGGGTCTCATTTGACCATAGCCCCTATTCAAGGCCCCCTTCAAAATTCCATTTAAATGTCCACAATTTTATTCAACAATAAATGGCTTATGTATATCTGAGGCAAGGTACAATTCAACTTAAATGCTTTATTATGAAAACTAAATCACATTCTTTTTGTAACAGCTACCGGAGACGAAGCCTATTGAAAATGGTTAACATCGGACCATTATTTCACCTAGCCCCCATACAACTGAACCCGCCGAATAGGCCTTTTAAGTTCATAATTATGTTTAATATACTCCCATCTCGACAAAAAGCTGTAAAACCAAGTTCTTACTAGCTTTAATAACCCTCATGAATTTTATAATTATAGGGTCTCATTTGACCATAGCCTCTATTCAAAGCCCCTTCAAAATTCGGCTTAAAATTTATACCCTCCACCACCATCAGTGGTGATAGAGGGTATATATAAGTTTGTTGTTCCGTGTGTAACACCAAGAAATATTCATCTAAGACCCAACAAAGTATATATATTCTGGGTCCTTATCAAATTCTGAGTCGATTTAGCTATGTCCGTCTGTCTGTCTGTGTAAAACACCAACCAAATTCACCCAAAGTATTTATTATTATCCTAAGCAGTTTGGTATTGAAAATCAGCAAAATCGGTTCACAACGTAAAAAGTTATGAGTAAAAATTTCAGACTACCTCGAAAGAAATTACGTTTTTTCAACATTCTTTTGAAGTTTTCTCAGAAACTACCAAAGATATTTCGATGAATTTTGTCACACATTAATTTTTTATGCCTGATATTTCGATGAATTTGGTCACACATTAATTTTTTATGCCTGTGATCAATTATGTTCAAGATCTTTACAATCGATCGAATATTTCCCATAGCCCCCATACAAAGGTATATATTCCCAGAAATTAGTTTATCGTTAATAACTCAAATATATCGGTATCAACACAAAATTTTGTACATGCAAATATAATATGAACAGAAATCATACAGTCAACGTAGATCTCAGTCGGTCCACAATTGTTCATAGCTCCCATATAAGGTCCACTTCCGAAAATCACCTAAACGTATATATTTCATTGATGAATATAGCTATTGTGATAAAATTCGTGTTAAATATGTTCTGTGTACGTACAAATCAATCTACCAAATTTTTTACGAATCGGTCCATTATTGGTCATAGCTCCCATATAAGGCCCACTTCCGAAAATCATTTAAAAGCTCATATTTAATTGTCAAATAAAGCTATCTTGAAAAATTCGACACAAATATGTTTAGTCTAAATTTTTTCCGGAGAGGCCCATAATTGGTCATAGCTCCCATATAAAGTTCACTTCCGAAAATCACTTAAAATAAAATATTTCATTGAATTATAAAGCTATCGGGATAAAATTCGACACAAATATGTTTTGTCTAAATATGAATCACTCTACATTTTTTTTACGGATCGGTCCATTATTCGTCATAATTCCCATATAAGGCCCACTTCCGAAAATCACTTAAATGCATATATTTCATTGAATAATAAAGCTATCGGGATAAAATCACTTAAAAGCACATATTTCATTGTCAACTAAAGCTATTGTGATAAAATTCGACAAAAATATGTTTTGTGTACATTCAAATCATTCCACAAAATTTTTTACGGATCGGTCCAATATTGGTCATAGCTCCCATATAAAGCCCACTTCCGAAATTCACTTAAAAGCACATGGTCAAATAAAGCTATCTTGATAAAATTCGACACAAATATGTTTTGTCTTTATATGAGTCACTCTACGAATTTTTTTCCTGATAGGCATAATTGGCCATAACTCCCATATAAAGTCCACTTCCCAAAATCACTTAAACGCACATATTTAATTGTTAAACAAGTAAGAAAGTATAGTCGGGCGTGGCCGACCATATAATACCCTACACCAGTTATGAATATTAAATGTGATTTATTTTTCATAATAAAGCATTTATCTTCAATATTCCCTTGTTCCGATACATTTAAGCAATTTATGGATGAAAAACTAATTTTCTGAAAGAGGCTTTATATGGGGGCTAGGGGCAAATATGGACCAAGCCCGATAAAATTTTGTGAATATATTTTTATTTACATAATATTTAATTGTGATGAATTTCATCGCGATATTTGTGTTTATAAGTTAATTTGGGACATTCAAGTAATTTTCTGAAGGGGACTTTGTATGGGAGCTAGGGTCAAATGGGGCCCGATCTTTATGAAATTTGTCAGGGTCATCAAGACTTCTATAAAACTTAGTTATGTCGTATTTTATCGATATATCTGTATATTTAACATAATTATGAGCTCAGAAGCCCTTTTCGGGGGGTTCTGTTCTATGGGGGCTAGGTGAAATAATGGACCGATTTTAACCATTTTGAATGGGCTTCGTCCTTGGGTCAAATAAAACGTGCGTGCCAAATTTCATCCAATTATCTTGAAAATTGCGACCTGTACCTTGCGCATAAGGTTTACATGGACAGCCAACCAGTTAGGCGGACGGACGGAAAGACGGACATAGCTTAATCGACTCAGAAAACGATTCTAAGCCGATTGGTATACTTTAAGGTGGGTCCAGGACGAATATTTTTGTATGTTACAAACATCAGCACAAATCCAATATACCCTCCCCACTAAAGTGGTGTAGGGTATAATAATGTTATCTAGATAAAATTCGGCACAAATATGTTTTATCTTTATATGAATCACTCTTCCAAAATTTTCCGGATTGGTCCATATATGGTAATAGCTGCTACATAAGGTCCACTTCAAAAAAATCACTTAAGAGCTCATATTTCATTATCAAATAAAGATATCTTGATAAAATTCGACAAAAATATGTTTTGTGTAAGGTCATAGCTCGTATACATATAAAGCACTTCCGAAAATCACCTAAACGCACATATTTCATTAATTAGTAAATCTATTATAGTAAAAATCGAATTGATTTTTTTTTGGC